ACTGTGGACAAACATTTTTGGTGAAGTAAGGGAAGGAAACAAAATCCAATAACTAAAACTGTGGACAGTTTTTGGGTGAAGCAAAGAAAGGAAGCAAAACCTAATGACTAAAACTGTGGACAAAAATCTTTGGTGTAGTAAAGTAAAAAACAAAACCTAATAACTAAATCTGCGCATATTTTTTAGGTGAAGTAAAGTAAGGAGGCCAAATCTAATAACTAGACTGGTGGACATTTTTTCTGAAGTAAAGAAAGAAAGTAAAACTTAATGACTAAAACTATGGACAAAAATCTTTGGTGAAGTACAATCAGGAAACAAAATCTAATAGATTTGAATCTAAACCTACAGGTTCGAGGTTTTGAAATTTAAGCTCAAAATATGAATCTAAAATTCTTGGTTTTAAAATTTAGATTCAGAATCTGAATCTTAAACCTTGGGTTTGGAGAGTTAGATTCAGAATCTGAATCTAAAATCTTGGATTTGGAGAGTTAGATTCAGAATCTGAATCTAAAATCTTGGATTTGGATAGATAGATTCAATATTAAAAAACAACAAATTTTATAAAACAAAATAATAAATAGTAATAATTTTCAAAACAAAACAATATAGAAAACATAGTGATTGTAAATACTAGTTTTAATATATTTTCCAAAAATATGTTTTCATATATAGAAAAGCCACTGTGGCCGTCATATTTAGAAACAAAAGTATATGTATACCACTGAAGTTGTGAAATTGGATCAAAAGCCCATCAGTTGTGAAATTGTATCAAAAGCCCATATGGCCCATCACAAAGTACATCCAAAAGCCAATGTGACCTTTGGAATATATATATATACACATACATCATAGTATATCTATCTACTATTATAGCCATTTATGCATCAGAAGAACATGCCAGAACATGTAGAACATAAGCACTGTATAAAGTGTTCTATCAATAATTTAAATTAAGCTGTAGCTACACCAATGGTGTAATTCATACCAACCATTTACAAACCAATTGAAGCCCAAAGAGGTACCACAAACCAGTAGCCATGGCAGAGCGAATGGATCCACAGGCCACCACCAGTGATTCCAGTGCCACCTCCAGTGATTCCAGTGACACTGTTGTGCCCAACAAGACCATTAATGAGTACCAATGGAGACCGAAGGAGTTGGGCAGGATGAGGGCCAATGATGCAGATTGCACCAATGTGCCCAAGGCTCCCAGAATGGCAGAGGTGGCCAGGAGTTCCACCAGTGAGGCCAGTGGTTACCAAGGACCAGGCATGCTGCAAGCCAATGATCCCATAGATATTCCAATTGAGACTACAGAGTCACCAGAGTATGATCCCTTTGCCACCATACCCAGCACACCAAAGCCAGATGAGGCCAGCATGTTCAGCAAACCAAAGCCAGATGAGACCAGCTGCTGGCCCAAGCCAAGGCTAGATGCTAGATCACAACCACCTAGCTTGTTTTTGGCCATAAGGTCACCAATGGGCAATGTGGCACCAGCACCAGAGCCACTTTCACCAGTGTCTCCAGCTTCCACGCAATAACTGCAGAGCCCAAAGGCATACCCCAGGGCAGCAAGTGTAGCAGTGCCACCAGACCACTCATGATGGCCATCTACAACCACAATGGGGCATGGACCCAGCTTGTCCAGGAAAGCCATGCAGAGTGCCCATCTTCAATAGACCATCCATGGGGGTTCATACTGTACTGTGATGAAATCATCCCAGGAAATGTCCTGGGGAGGGCAGGAAGAAAGGTATGGACCATATACTGCAGCTTCCAACAGTTTGGGCCCCACTTGTCCAATGAAGACTCATGGCTCACTATCAGTGTGGAAAGGTCCAACTTTGTGGCCACCTTGGATGGAGGCATTGCCCGAATGATGGGCCATATCTTAGAAAGCATCTTCTGTTGCCCCATCCAAGACCCCAGGCTTGGCATCAAGCTGAAAGCCAGCAGTGGGGACATCACTTTGTGTTTCCACTTAGCAATGGTTTTGGCCGATGGTGCTGCTGCTAGACAGGTTTGGTCCAGCAAGGGCGACTCAGGAACAAAGTTTTGTTTGTTGTGTGCCAATGTCCATGGCCAAGTGGTCAAGCATGCAGATGAAGCCCAGCATGAATTTCATTGTGCTACCACTCAATACAGCCAGCTTAGGCTGGTCACTGACCAGGACTTGTTGGACAGCTACCAAAGATTGCGTACCAGGTCCAGCTCTTGCACAAAGACAACTTTTGCACAGTGGCAGCAGGCCACTGGTCTGACATATTCCAAACATGCCCTAATGTTGAACCAGCCATTGCTGGAGAAAGGGGTAATCAGACCAGCCACACAATTTTGCCACGATTGGATGCATGGAGTCCTCCAGGGCACTGCCCCATATGTACTCCACCACCTGTTTACCAGCTTGGCCACAGAAGGCTTTGATTGCTATGCCTTCTTTGAAAAATACTTCCAATGTTGGCAAAACCCCAGAGGTTGGAAGGCCAACTATTTTCACCAATTGTTTGAGAAGAAGAAAATGGAAAAATCCAAGAATGCCAGAAAATTCACTTGCACAGCAGCAGAATGTTTAGGCATTTTCCCCGTAGTGAGGCATTGCATGTGCACCATCATCCAGTCTCAAGGCCTGTGTGTGGCAGCAGTGAATGCTTTTTTGGCCATGTCAGAAGTCATAGACCAATGCCATGGTGGTGTGCAATGGAAAGCCACCACAAGGCAATCCTTGTTGAGTGCTGTGGAAAAAGCCAATGCATCATTTTTGGCTGCTTGGCCAGAAGAAACCATGATCAAGAAATGGCATTGGCATCTGCACCTACCAGATGCATTGTCCAGATTTTCCACTCTTCCAAGCTGCTTCACAGCTGAAAGGAAACACAAAAGCATTTCAGCTGTGGCAACCAAATTGACAAGAACCACCAGTTATGAGAAGCACCTCCTTCAGCAAGTGCTTTCCACTGAAATTTGCACTTTACAGCAGCCAGATCAATTTCCCAATGTTTGCCACATGTGGAAATCAAAGCTTGCCACCCAACAGGACCAAGTGGCCTTGGCACCTTTTTTGAGCCAACCTTGCCTTCAAGCACAAAGTTCGACTGTTGCCATTTTGGCCAGAGGTGGCCAAATTTCAGGTGGTGATGCCATCATTTTCTCAGAAGGCAATGACCAGTGGAAAGTTGCACTTGCCATCAAGCATTTCCAGGTATTTGGCTTGCAAACCACTTTGGTCCAATTGTGATCCATACAGAACATGGACCAATACCATGCCAAATGCAAGGTGACAGCCTCCAATGGGCTCATTCCATTGAGCAAAATTTTGTTCTCAGTGCCATACAGTAAAAGCAATGACCAAGTGACTGTGCTGTTGCCAATGCTACAGTCGAAGATAGCAGGAAAAACAAGTGTGTCTGTTCAGCTGTCTTTTGCCGTCAAATTACCAAAGGCCATTGTGGCTCATCAAAGGCCATGGTGGCTCATCAAAGCCCATGATGGCTCATCAAAGGCCATGATGGCTTCTTCCATCAATCAATAAATGTCTGCACATGTCAATGCACCACGACAGAAATTCATTATGTTTCTTTTTTTTCGAAAATGCATATTAGTTTATCATTTTTTGTACCAAAATCATTTAAATCTCTGAAAACTTAAAGTCAATTTGGATTTTGGAGAAACCATTTTTAGAGTTATAACTAGTTATATAGAGTTAGCAACTCAAGCTAATAGTTATATAACTGATCTTAACTAACTTAACTTCTTACAACAAAACAAGGGTCTCCAGTACACAAGTGCCCATGCATCATTCTGTCTGCGCACAGCGCTCACCCAATCTTCGCGCCTGGTGGGAGCTGTCGGCCTCTGCTCTGCCACTGTCTTGCCGGTCCGGCTTTCGACGGCGAACTGGTCCAACTTCGCATCGGTGCGTGGCGTGAAGTCCGCAGCCGACAGGGCATACTTCTCCTGCGTGCCCCAATGCGGGCGCGATGCCCGCAGCCAGGCGGGTCGTCGCCTTCTGACGAAAACCTGCGTTCCGCAGCTTCGCGGATGCCCCGGCCTGAGCCGCCAGTAGAGCGTTGGCCAACCCAGGAAGACCGCAGCGTCGAACGCAAGCGCGTAGCACCCAAACCAGCGCGGGGACCGTCCCGATCGCCAGCGAACAGAGCGGCCAACAGAGGGAGAGCGCGTAGTGTGCCACCAGGCACAGAGTCATCAAAGCGGCCAGCCGGACTAACAAGGAGCATCCACTCCGAACGTACGCCAGCTCTGCCGAAGATCCAAAGCCACTGGCCGTGTCAAGGAGGGTCCACACGATGCCTTCCCAGGAGCCAAGCTTTTCAATGTCTCCAAGAGCTCGGTGGCCCGGCCGTGGTGTTCGACCACCACTTCACATACCCAGCTGGGTCTTCCCTTAACAACGGAGGTGCTTCAGTCGAATCTAAGGATGGCCCTCGCCACCCATTCCCTCGCCCCAGCTCCAGCGCCAATTAATGCCACGCCCACTACGCGGTAGCAGATCACGAAGTGACCAAAAAAGGTACGAGCTTGAACCCTTGGCGACATCGATCACCGTGCACAAGCCCTGAAGTCTCACTTTCAAAAAGTTCCAAGTATATTTATAAAAAAAAATATAATATAAACAAATATATATATATATAACCTTATCTATTTGTTTATTCTCTGCCGCGCACACACGCACACACAAACTTTGCACCATCTTGTCGTCGCGCAAGTACAGCAACATCTTTGCAAGTACGCTATTTCGGTCACAATTCAATCGCTGAGGTTTCAAACTCAGCAAGGTATGTAGGTCAGTGCTCAATTGGCTTGATGGGTCCTGGTGGTGGGAGCACGCCCGCGAAAAATGATCTGAACTGACAAGTCCTGAGTGAAGACAGGCATCTGCGCTGGCCTCAGTTTGTGGGCAAAAATGAACACGCACCCGGGAGAAAATCCTAGGGACATTCGAGCACCTTGCTTGCCATGCACAGGATGCTTTCCACGAGATGCAAACACCTGCACGTTCTTTTTTACCGCGACCGAATCTTGTCGAGGGACCAAATAAATGGAGACGCATTACTAAGGTGTAAGGCGCGGCCGGTTGATATTTTTTGTAAATCGGACCAAAGCAAACTCTAAATTCAGTCGCGCATCGCATTTTTCTGTTCGCTTCGAGCAGGTTGTGTGGCCAAATAAGGGAACGCCGCTGGGAGAGACACGGCCCAGTTTATCATTAGAGCATACCGATGAGAGCACACATATGAGGACACATTTAAGAACACCCTGCGAGGGCACGGAGAGAGCGCGCATATGAAAATTGTTATATAGGCAGCGTCATCGCCCCTTTTCCACACGAGCGCTGAGCCACTGCGGGCGGTTATGAACTCATGTTCACCTGTACTTCACACAACTGACACCCTGCCTTGCGCGCGTGACCTTTTTTGTCATGCCTTCTAAAGCTCATCCTCCGTGCAAATGCGGTCATCTCAGTCCAAATTTCTGTTGCGCAAAATTTCCACGAAAGCGTCCCACGTGTCATCATAGTCGCCATTCACAATCTCACGAAACATCTTGTGGTAGTTTCGATCGTAGATGTCATTCATACATCAGGGCATAGTCAAATTGCAGTCCTGACCACTTTCCATCACGAAACCTCCAGTCAAACACACTGCGTGTTGAAAGGAGTTTGCCATAAGGTTCCGGTGTCCTTGTCAGCTCCTCAATGTCCTCATACTCTTCATTCTCAAAGTTCTCCAACGCCATCTCTTCGTCGTCGAGATCATCATAGAGGTCTTGCTCCCACTGGTAGTCATTGACCACTGCGCTGTGGGGCTTGCGCTTGCACTGGTCTTAGCAATCTTTTGTTCTGCTTTTGGCATCGAAGACAAAGTCGGTGTCATTGGAATCTGAAGCCTGCCTCACCAAAGTTTTGAAATTCTTCTTTGAAGATGGCGTTTGTTCAAATTCCGTCTCCTGTTGATTTGGTTGGCCCATGTCCATCGTAGGCTGCTCTTCTTCACTATCGCCATGGTCCACGGCATACCTTTCCACGTTTTGAGTTCTGCTGCAAGTCCAGGAACAATCCTTGGCGCGCTCCTTCTGAACTTCTGTCAGCTTGTAGGGCAAGTCCGTCACCATCGAGGTGTAGACTGGATTCCACGGCTTTGGTGTCCGCCTGATCACGCTTGATTTCACCAACCCGTTGGGCGTAGAGACTACACGCAGGTCGCCACTGCCATCTGTAGTCTTCCCAAGCCGGAAACCATTGTGGACCATGCTTATGGCCACCCCTGTTGAGGGCCAAAACTTCTTATCAAATCCCACCAGTCTTCCTGAGTAGCGGCGCCCATTCACCAATGCAAAGGGTGAACTCTTCACTGCGCGCTGAAATCTGTTCAAAAGCCAGGCCGCGTGGACGCAAACCCACGAGAACAGGGGATGTTGAACTCCATAGTTCATCTGGCAACGCTCCTCTAAGTGGTGCGTGATCGTTGAGGCTTGTCTCCTCAAAGTCTGGATCGCTCGCTCAACTTGGCCTGCTCGCCCTTAGCTGTAAGGCTTGGCGAAGGTCAGTCGTTGCAAAACCTAAGCTCTGTCTAATTTTCCTCGCAGCTTCCATCACTGACTTCAACACCGGCTCGTTGTCACTCACAAGCTCCATCAAGTCATAGTAGTTCAAGTAGAGGCTGAAGCGCGCAATTTGCTTTGCTTGGATCTTGAGTGTTCTGGCTTTGAAAGGAGTGGGGATAGCCAGCGAATTCTTCCTTCCAGTGTCGAGAACCACCATCGCAGTCGCGCCCTTAATTGGACTGCTCCTTCACGTAGCAGTAGTCAACCTCTAAGCTTGGAATCCTCCTCCTAAGGCTCCTCGTCCGGCAACCTCTGTTTGTCCTTTTTGTCCTTGCATGCCACGCAATGCTGGCGCCGCTCACGGAAAGGTAAATGAGTAAGTCCATGTAGTTGCACCTCCTCTTCTGTCGGTTGTCGTGGTAGAGGTGCAGAATGAAGTCCACGAGGCCGAGCTTCTTCGAGGTATAGTTTGTTCGACACTTCAAATCCCTCAATGGCCTCCTGCGTCTGAATCTTTTCATTGTGCCCCCTCCATATCTGGGCTCTTGGTCCTCCTCGATAAAGACCGAAATTGTTCTGCTGCATTCCACAGTAGTTTGATTGGACTGTTGGGGAAGATCTCATCGCCATTAATCACTAGCGCGCAACGTTCTTCAACTGCCGCCTGAAATCTTCTTCATTGCCCTGCCTGCGTCTGGTTGCTCCATCTCCTCCTTGGTTAAACCACCTTGAAGTTCAGGGGGCACATTGGGTTCACCACGAAAGGTGGATTCACCTCCTCTTGCGCGTTCTTCTCCAATGATGTCTCCCAGGGCGCTCTCCTCTTCATTGGAATTTCGTAAAGCCGTCAAAACATCGCAGGGCTCATCACATTCTGCAATTTGACTTGACTTGTTTTCCAACTCGTGTATCAGCTACAGAACTCCACAATGAGCCACGCATTGTCCTCACCCCGTCGAATCAAAGTGCTCCTCAATGGCCAGAACCTCCAACTAAAAAGGTAGGAAGGATCTTGGAAAGTCTTGGCGTGGGAAGAAATGCAAAATGGTCTTCCTTCTTCATCAAACCTCCAGCCTTTCAATCCCACTCTCTCCGCCACTGCATCTGTCCACATTTCGATTTGCCCCATTCTTCGGCCACATGACGTCACCATTGCCGCTGCCCTTCTAGTTTCGACACCCTTGTCTTTGTTCATCTCATAGGGAAGAAGACTCACATCAGCTCCTGGGTCAAGAACAAGCAAGTCATCCCTTGCCACCGTTCTCACACGCTCAACGGGATCTGTATAAGCCATGCGTAGAAACCATCTTGTCCAACCTGTGTCTCCTCGGTGTGAAGCGAAAAAGAAACCGCACGCACTGCATACCAATCCTAGCCACCGCTCTTCTCAAGCTCAAACAACTCTGGGTACTCAGACGGCGGCGTGGCTACGTGATACATCCTCACTTGCCTCACCTGGGTCTTGCCACCGGTCTGTGACGTAGTTGTCGATGAAATCGATCGGGAAGGTTGCCTGAGATACGTCAAATTGGTCTGGCTTGCGCTGTCAGGGGTTGAAACATCTGACGTTCCCTGGCGCGCGTTGGAAGCTGCGTTCACCTGCATAGACGCTTGTCCATAGCGCGCTTGGGGACGTTCGTTGCCCCAATGGCCATACTCTTGACAAATACGGCACAGTGTCTTGCCTTTGCCCTTGTTCTTGCCTTTCTATTTTCCCTTGTCTTTGCCTTTACATTGTTCTTGCCCTTCGACTTCGTCTTGCCTTTCGCTTTATACCTCCACGCCCACCACCCTAGCCCCAAGGAAACCATGATGAGCCTTTACCCTTGCGCCTTGTCCACATCCATATAGGTTGCGGACCTCCAGCCGTTGAACTGCTCTGAGCACCATCCAGCTGTTGTAAGGTGTTCAAGAAGTTCTCACTGTTCCATGTTTTTTCGTGTTCTTGTCAAGGGTGATCAACTTCTCCTTGAGGTCGGTGTAATTAGGTCACGTCGTCAGGCGCGTTGTACTGCAAGTGCTTTCTTGCCACGGGATCAACTCAGCAGAAACCTGTTCCAACAATCAAATCTTCTGACTTCTGACATTGGCGTTCGCACTGCTACTGCCTAGTGTTCAAGCGAGGCGTCAAAAGAAAGAAGATTTTCCAACAAATGGCGTTGAGAACGTGTCCGGCTGTTTCACACCTTTGAGGCTTCTCCAAGGTTGCTCCTTGTCGCGCTCGATGAGCTCGAAGCTACAAACCTCTGCGCTGTCTCGGCTGAAGCTTTTAGCTGCTGTTGTGCCTGCTGCTGACAACTCCATGACCTTGCGCTGCATCCATTGCACGGGCTTGTCCCACAATTGTCAGCAGCAAAAGTCCACGCCTTTGCATGTTGAACTTCCACCTCGCCGTTGAAGGTGTCATTGAGTGGCACCAATCCACTTCCATCCTTTGCGGCTCCAATCCACAACTGCTGCTGACCTGGAAACGTTCCAATCCCTTCCACCTCGATGGGGTGTCCACACCCCACTATGCGATCGCCAGATCCCCTCAAAGTACCATTGGGGGTTGCCACAGACGAGGGTCGAAGAAGGGTTCCAACTTCCAACCCCCGTCATACTGCGAGACATCCTCCTCTCCTGGACTCTGGTGCGTCTTCGCCGTCTTCATCGCACACCCAGCTTCCCCTCTCGAATTTCGGCTGGCGCCTCATGTGGATCATCGTGATGATGTCCTGTACACTCACTCACCTTGCGCCTGCCACGAGAAGCGACCGCCAAATTTGAAAATGCGCGCGGCCGCAGACGAGGGGAAGCGCCCGCGCCAGCCAAGGAGTTTAGGCGAGCCTGCGCAGTCACAATGCACTTTGAAGATCGAGGCGTGAGCGCGACGTGGGTAGCAGCAAGTTGAGCTGCGCGCGGACGCAAGCATCATCGATCAGGCCCAGCCTTTTTTCTGGTAAGGAACCCCTAGCGTGATCACGGTGAGCTGATTGCATTACACTACACATACCCGGAGTACTTTTTTTGGAACTCACAAAATGAGGTTCCCACAATGCAACTGATCACAAACGCCTGCAATCAGTTTGGCGCCGCCCGCAAAAAATCCTTGAACCCTGCAAACCTCTAGCCTCCATCGCTATTTGGTTGGAGGCCATTGCTACTATAGCGCGCAGGCCATTGCCACTATAGGTTGGACGCCATCGCTACTGGGGTGGAGGCCATCGCTATTCGGTTCGATGCCATTCCTCGTGAAAAATCGTTTTTGGGGGTCCGCCCCGATAGCCAGGTTTGGTTCCCCGGCTATTGACAAGACCTTTTCCAACAAATTGCGCTATAGGCCTTGTTCGAGGGTTATTTAAACCCTACGACGGCGTTGCGCGCCAACAGGTAATGCACATATTCAATACTTTGCGAGGCAACCACATCAAGTATTGAAGCTGAATGAACGTCCCTTCTCCGACTCAGGCCTGCAGTTTCCCGTTGAAATCACCAACAAGCTGCCGAATTGCGTCCTCGCCTCACTTTTAAGCTGAGTTGCGACGAGCTGACCGCGCAAACCAGGAGTTGTCACTACAATTCGGATGGTGTTTGCTTATGACACTCACTGTTCATCCTGGTTGTCAAGCGCTCAGGCTATGGCCCTTCTTCCGGAACAAGTCCTGCAACTTGCAACCGCATTTGGATTTCAATGAAAATATATGATACTTTTCATTTTTTGCAAACGCTCCGGGTCAAATGGTAGCTCTCTCTGCGATAGGAGCTTCGCAAACGCGTCTTTTTCTCGAGCCTGGCGACAAACATTTTCGTTGTGGGCAGCTTCATGCGCCTACATGTTCACGCGCGCGCGATGTTGATGGCGATGGTGACGATGATCATCATGGCGGCGGCGATGATGTTGGTGTTGTTGTTGATGATGATGATGTTGATGATGATGATGATGAGTGATGAGTAGAGTAATGATGAAGAAGGGCACGGCCTTCTCCTTCCAATCTCGGCTCCTTGCCGCTGGACACCCGCGGTGAGAGCTCTGACCCACTCAGCACTATGCCGCAAAGATTCTCTTTGCTGGGTTCGCGCGATGTGGAGTTCCTGACCTTCAAGACTTCAAGAACTGGCACAACGTCTCCTGAAGATTCAAGCGTGTGGTTGCCAACAACTGCCACGACAGCTTTGACCAGCAAGGTTAGTTACGAGCGTCATGCCAAAACGCACTGCAGAACTGTCACGTCGACGTTGTGAGCGATTGTTTATTCGATGAATCTCGATCAACATATGTCGACTGCTGCTACCCTTTTCTGCGAATCGATTCAGGTCTGTACTGTCTGTACTGAAGTGCTTTGGTTTGAAATGCGACCCACGTCGCTTGTGTCATCTGACATCTGACACTCTCCCTGTGGGAGCACTCCATCCGTATGTAGTGACCGAGAGGATACCGCAGGGGCGGTCCTACGGCCACAACGGATGCCAGCTCTGGACAGAGCAAAATGAAAGGCTTAAATGAAACTCCCTAGTCATCGTCAATACCTGGGACCGGCAGAACAGGTATGATGGCTAGGCGGCGGGCAGCCGAAAATGGACAACCGGACGGCAGCGGCAGACAGCACAGTCCTAGCCTCTCATGGCCGGCAGCCCAGGCGGCAAGCGTAGCAAGCATAGCCATGGTAACTGAAAGTAACCCAAAACACGGCCCTCAAGCACCAGCAAGGCCAAGGTGAAGTGACTATCACCAGGAAACCAGACTCTTCCGGCAACAAGCCAAGTCAGCCACCAGCTCGACCAGCACCAGGTGGACATGGAAGTAACTAACAGGGTGTGGCAGGGTGGGAGAAAAAGTTTAACTTGAGGTACCAGCAGCGACACTGCTCCTCAAGGGGCGTCTCCCCAGTTTGGCTTGAGCATTCAAACATTGGGAGACGTTGATTCGAAGCTTCCCAAATAATTCATCATCGCCGACCCGTATACCTTAAATGATTGAATATATTCGATGAATCTCGATCAACATATGTCGACTGCTGCTACCCTTTTCTGCGAATCGATTCAGGTCTGTACTGTCTGTACTGAAGTGCTTTGGTTTGAAATGCGACCCACGTCGCTTGTGTCATCTGACATCTGACACTCTCCCTGTGGGAGCACTCCATCCAAGGCACTATAACGTATCCAAAGCACTCAAACGAACTGAAAGACCTGAGCGATGAGGTGGTAGGGCAGCTGGAGGAGCATGAGCAGGGGGTAGGTGTGGAAGAGACGAAAGTCATGTCGTTGGAACCACGGGTCGTGTTCTCCCTGTCTGCTGATGCCATCTGACCAGTTGTCCTTACTCTGGACCCATTCAAAGTAGCATGCACTACGGAGTGCAAACAGAAGGCCATGGATTGCCCCGGCCATAGAATCCAGCTCATCGTTGTTGCTGCGGCCTCGTATGAGGGCCATGAGTGCTGCAATATTGTCAACAAACCATATACCGTGCATTCCGCGAGCTGATGAAGCATTGTATGCAAGGCCCATGTAGACTGTCAAGAGCTCAAGCTGTGCAATCTTGGCCTCATGATGGGACCACACCGTGAAGATCTTTGGGCTGATGTGGACGACATAGGCCCTTCGACTACCACGGGGGTCAATGAACAAGACTCCCGCAGAACCCTCGCGAGGCCTCTCCTGCGCCGCATCGGATGCAGCCAAGTACCGGTGTTGTCGCACTGGGTTAAGCGGTAGTTCTCTTTCAGGCTTCAACTGAAGTAGTGCTCGAATTCGATCAAAGGACTGTTCAATCTCCGGTGTCATCACGACTTGCGAGGAGTATTGTCTTTCCTTGATGCTATGGAGGCCCGACCGGCCGATCTTGCCGAAGCATCCCGTGGTCAAGAATTTGAGGCAGCCAAAAAGTTTGGCCGCCAGTCCTGGAGGGAGGCGACGCGTCTGAATGGCCTCCTCCATGATGTCGGTGACCTTGGTAAGCAACCGTTCACGGACCCAGAATTTGACAGGAGCACCCTGGTGGCAGGCTGCCACGTCGTGGATCAGCCCCAGAAAATCAGACTGGGCCGCCAAGGACTGATGTTTCTCTGTTTGGAAGGGTGAGCCAAGGCATCGTGCGAGTTCATTGACGAAGGCCTGGCCACTGCCGCCCATAATACCAAAATCCTGGATTGTCAAGTCATCAAAGTACATACTGGTCACGCAATAGGCCAGGCGGCGGCATGCAGCTTGGAAGAATCGGGGAAACCGATTGAACGAACATACAGCATTTGGTAACCCGAACAGAGAACCGTAGTATTGCCGAAAACGGGGGCCACCAACGTGATGGTCGTAGTAAGCCACCACGGCCATGTTGCTATGTGTCGGCTTCATGGGGACATAGCGGTAAGCGTTGGGTAAGTCTTCGCCCCCGGACCAAACACCAGCTTGCAGCAACTCAGACGCATGAGCCGAAGAGGATGCTGCCTGCCATAGCAGTTGAACATGGAGGCCAGGTTGAATGCTCGTACATAGATCCAACTTGTTCGCATCGGAGCTGAGTGCACTTTGCCCTCCGTCTGCAGCGTCATCTATGACTCGCAGCTTACCAGAGGGTTGCTGTATGCAAAACCTTCGGATCAGTCTGAATTGGGGAGTTCCTGGCACAGTTGGGCCCATGTCATTGGGGGGCCACAAAAGCCTTTGGCTTGGTCCTCCTCACCCGCCTGGACAATAGCCGTGTCGTGTTCACCTGGACGGAGGCTTTGAATGATGCGGGCAGCTTCTGGCAGGGCGTCCTGGTAGATGGAGGCGTCCGGGATGTAGTGGGCTGGTTGAGCCTTGTAAACTGGTACATGCGGGGAAAAGCCCACGGCGGAGAATCCATAGATCAGGTTGGCCACGAACGTAGTGTCTGGCCATCCGGTAATCAGCATGATAAGCCCAATCAGGGCGATGTGGCGACCTCGAGTGGCTGATCGGACAGGTGGTGGCTGATAAGTTTGGAGGTGGTAGGTGATAGGCCACATTCGCCTGTACGTCTCCTCACCTCACGAAGGCCCACTCCCTGGGCTGCATAGCCAGATGCTGCAAAGATCAAGTCATCATCGACAACACCCATGGTTTCAAATGGGGTAGGTCTCTGCTGCAGTTCAAGGGCGAGTTCAAAATGTCGCTCCTCCCCTACGCCAAAGGGGATCATAGGCGGTAAGGCTTTAGCAGCAGCAGCCGCTCCGGGCTGCTGAAGGCCACTCATAGCAATGGCGTTGCGCTCCAATGGGCCCACCAACTGTGGGCCAAAGGCGTGTCCGTCCCAGTCTGGGCGGTTCTGCGTGTAGTTGAGCCATTGGTAGTGCGAGTCATCCACTAGCAGGTCTTCGAGCATAGGCCACTGGAATCCCTCCCAACTGACATCCGGACAAAGGGCCATGAGGCTGGCCACCACAATTTCCTGACAGAAACGCAGCGGGACTGCCCTGGCGGGGCGGATGCCGGCAGCAATGAGTGAGACCCGTCGCAACTGCTCCCTGGTGGGATGGGAATGGCCTGAGGGCGAAGTAGTACGTGAAGTAGTCCAAACCAAGGCTCGAATGATATCCCCATGACATAGCACGTTGCGGGGGCAGTCGCACACCAGAGTCTTGCCACGCAGGGATGGGAGGTCAGCCAGAAGATGGTCCTGGTCGGATTAATCCATCGGGCGTAGTGAAGAACGCTCTCAAGAGCAGTCCTGCCTTCCCCTGTCCGGAAGGGGTTTTGCCATTGTGTCAGTGGCCAACGATGGGAAAAGTGCCCGGGGCCGATGTACACGTCCATGTCTGTGAGTTGGGACCTCAGCTGTAACACGTCGAATGCGACTTGACGAGTGGGCACGTGGGACGATTCCTCTCGTGGTGGTGTAAGGCCCAGGTGGAAACCCATGACATTCATCAGGTCTTCTCGCAGCTCGGACGGCTCGAAATGGAGTAGTGGTCGTACGTCCCCTGAGGTGTTGATGGGCGGTAGTCTTGGGATGGCGAGGATACCGTAGCCCTGTCGCGCAGCCCATGCCGTGCAGCATACCGCTAGGGTGAAGACCAAACTAGGTGTGTACTCCGCTACCCGACGAGCGCCACTCGTTGGGGTCATGAATGTGTCCACATCGAACGGCCGGAAGGGAGGCTAACTCAGGGATGTTGTGGCGGAACTTTTGGGCTTTGCGCCGAGCTCCCCCGAAGACGCACGCATCGTCCAAATCCTGCCAATCATCATCCTGGCACAGGTACTGCTCGACCGGGTCCCACCAGTGCAGAGACCTGAGCGGGTTCTCGTGAAGACATGCGAGGTTCTGTTGATGCCCCCAGTGCTGTAAGGCCAACAGATAGTCACTGGAGTAGTTGTCAGCATCGACCATGTTGTCCCGCGTCCAGTCCTGGTAGGCCCCTTGGGTATTCCTCGGACCGTAGAGGAGGGGGGCCGGGCCGTTTCTCCCTAGCTCTTGATTTGGTAGCACAACTCATAGCCCCCGCAATAGTGGCCACCCGAGGAAGCACAGCCTGAATAGCCCGACGGACCGCCGGACGCGACACGTCCACTCGATGTCAATCGGTGTGATGATCTCCCATTGGCACCACAGGAAGGCCTTGGACAACGGTGCATGGACCCCACTGAACACATCAAGGAGGACGGGGCAGGGTGAGGCTTCGGTCTTGTGCATATCAGTGGACTCCAACTCGGCCAAAAATGAACGAAAGTCATGAAAGACAGGAGTGTCCAAAGATTGGCCTCGCCCCCCCCCAACAGAGGAGCGGCCCTCTTTTCAAGCAGCCTTGGGACATCCGAAAGGCGAGTGCT